CCGTCCACCTACTCACCTGTCCACAGCCACCCACCATCTGCCTCTGCCCAGCACCACCCACCTGAGACAGGCTGCAGACGGTGTGCGCCGTCCTTAAATCTTCATGTGTACATCCTAAAAACAAGGACTTAGGACTGAGGGGAGAGTAGTAGCTCAGTGGTGGAGGCTTGCCTAGCAGGCACAGGGTCCTAGGTGGGGTCCCCAGCTGTAAAAAAACAACAACAAAAAAACCCCTTTTCTGATATCTGCAGTCTACCCATCAAAAATCAGGAAATAAACCCTGGGCACATACCACCACCCAATCTATAAATCCTTTCCAAATTCTACTGACTGTCTCAAAAATGCCCTTTATAGGACAAAAAAGGAATCATGCTGATGGCAAGAGGCAGCTCTTCCTCTCCCTCTGGTCCAGGACCTTGGTCCAGCTCGCCCGTCCCCCGTCCTGCCCTCATGACGTGCCTCTTTGGGGAAGTGGCTCGGCCCGGGTTGTCTAGCTCTCCATGAGGCTGGGGTCAGGCTGAGCATGGCCGGCCGCAGGAGCACTGGTGTGATGACTGTCGGTGCACAGACGGGTTCCTGCTTCGCCTAGGCGGGTGGCTCAGGCTGAGGGCCTCCGCATACCCTGTCCCCCTGTGACCCTGTGAGCCGCTTTGCTGGAGTCGGTGAGGCTCCCCAGCCTCAGCAGCAGCCCCTGCTGCCAGAGACAGGTGGAGGGTGGTGTTGGGAAGCAGGTTGCTGCAGGGCAGCTCGTGGTACCCGAGATATTCCGGCTTCTCGCCTCTCTGCAGAGGTGGAGGGGAGGCGTGTGGTCACTCACATGTATGGACACGCTCTGCCTGGCCACACCAGGCCTTGTGGACGAGCCAACACCCAGCACCCTGACTGTTGGTCATACCTATTGATATCTTGGACTCCCTCACCCTCCATTCAAGCCCCTCAGCTCAAACCTGGTGTGTGGCAAGTGCCAGGTACCCCTCACCTGCGGGGCCAGCTGCCTGGCCAGCTCCCTGGTCCTGCGCAGGGACAACTCTTAAGCATCACCTGTGCAGGACCCCAGCCTGCATCCCCTTGCTCACGCCTCGTCTCTGGCCAGCGCTCCAGCCCCTGTCCCCTGGCAGGTAGGTCAGTGTCCCCCCCGTATTAGAACCGTGTCCCCTGGCAGGTAGGTCAGTGTCCCCCCCATCTTAGAACCCTGTCGCCTGGCAGGTAGGTCAGTGTCCCCCCTGTCTTGGAACCCTGTCCCCTGGCAGGTAGGTCAGTGTCCCCCTCCATCTTAGAATCCTGTCCCCTGGCAGGTAGGTCAGTGTTCCCCCTGCCCCCTCATCTCAGAATCGTGTGCCCTGGCAGGTAGGTCAGTGTTGCCCGCCATCTTAGAACTGTGTCCCCTGGCAGGTAGGTCAATGTCCCCCCCATCTTAGAACCCTGTCCCCTGGCAGGTAGGTCAGTGTGCCCCCCATCTTAGAACCCTGTCCCCTGGCAGGTAGGTCAGTGTCCCCCCTGTCTTGGGACCGTGAGGGTGTGATTCGCACGTCCCTCCTCAGGGAAGGAGGGAGATTTCCTCACTTCACCCCCTGACCCCAGTCCAGGCTCTGGCTCAGCACCAGCTCCCTGGGCTGAAGATTCAAGACCCCTTCACTGGCCCCTGAGAACAGTGCCCCCTCTCCTGGGAGCCAGAGGGTCCCAGAAACCCCAGGCAGCCCTTCCAGGACCCCCACCCCAAGCAGCCAGAGAGGGGTGCCAGCCCACCCTCTGCAGCCCCAAGACACGGGCATAGCAGGTTCTCAACAGGCTGTCCCTGGCTGGAGCAGGACAGGAGCCCTCCTGGAGGCCAGGCCTTTCCTTGTACCCAGTAGGACATTGACTTGGGGACCACTCAGCAGAGGCCCTGCCCAGCCCCCGACCCAGGCCCTCTAGTCACACCACATGCTGCTGGGCCCTGGCAGGGCTGGGGACACTCTCTTTCTCCTGGGCCAGCCTGCCAGGGGCCATGGGTCAGGTGCAGGAGACTGCGTCCTCAGCACCCTAGCCAGAGGCCTGAAGCAGTGCCCTCGAGGGCAGAGGAGAAACACTGACCCATGTCAGCTGTCCCTTGTGGTTCCAGGTGCCAGGCAGGACTGTCCTGAAGGTGTTAGGAGGGTGTAGCTCCTGTGTGGGGTCCTTCTGGGGTGAGGCTGGGAGGAGTGTGTCAGCTGGCAGTGACAGTGACACGTGCCCAGCACCTGCTGCCTTAGGGACTGCCAGCTCCACTGTCCAGCTGCAGGGCCCACAGTCCTTCCAGGTCATGGCACCTGTCCTCAATGCCAGAGGCATTCTGAGCTCCAGACGCTGGCTCTTGCCTTCTAAAATGTGATTGTGCTGGGGCCTCCTGTGGGTGCTGCAGAGCAGAGGAGGAGAGGGAGGAGGGGGAGGAGGAGGAGGAGGAGGAGGAGGAGGAGGAGG